GCAAAAATAACTACATTGTGATACACACTTACCACAATGCAAAATGATTTGTACCATGATAAAAGATTTTCCTCACGCTGTCCATCCCTATTGCATATTTACTATAAAACACAGCCTTGTCTTATTATTTAGGATGGATTGTATTCGTGCAAACTGATTCATGATTTTTTTTATTAGAAAGCAGCTGCAGAAATATCTAAATTCATAGAAAGTAGATCTAGCGAGTGAGACCTCCCGCCGCGCCGCCGTCACCATCTCCCTGTGATTTATCCGCTTTTCATTACAGCTTTGCCTGTAGACAGAATTGTTTCATAATGAAGAAATATATTTCCATTGTGCCTCGCGCTCATTTGCTTTACAATCCGAGCACGTTGTGGGAACGCGGTGTGATGCGAGAGAGACACCAGAGATTACAACACAAAGAAATGCCCTCAAGATTGCACTGATTTAGTTAAATTCGCATATGGAGAGATGCTGCTGTTCGTCAGGGCCTGCTGAAACGGTGTCACATTTGAAACCGCATTGAAAGGCGCCGAGAAAGCGAGTGCTTGAGCCTCGGAGGCCACACTCTCTGTCACTCCAGTCTGCAGCTTTAACACATCACATCGCAACATGCTTTTCCCGAGGGGAAAAAAAGAAATGTGTTGGTTGTCATGGAAATCTATAGCCATTTTTCTTTCTTTCTCAGCGTTGAGCGGGTCGGAGTCCAGAGGGAGGGTTGCAGGAATGAGATGTGGGCAGGGTGACATGGGGCGATGACAGCGGGCAGCCGCTGGTATTGATCTGCGATCTGTCACGCCAGCCCACTCTTGAAAAAGCGCTCTAAAGTGTTTCACAACACGTATCTTATTTTTCATTTTCTGCTGCTATTCTGTTACGCCAATGCTCCACGGGCCCAGCCGAGAACTGCGTGCAACCGTAAAAACAGAGGAACTGGAGACTTCAGAAATGTATGGAAATCAATAACTAGCCTAAAAATGTTCCGCATGCTACTTTCAGCCGATAAATATCAACATGGAGCTAAGAAAGCTTTCATCTCTTGATTTTAGACTAACGTTTTGCCCTTTTAGAAGTGCCTTCCATGTCAGTCCAGGACTGTAAGCAGAGTTGTGGCTTGAATATGTTTTGGATGCTGAGATACTGGCATGGTCTGAAACGATTTCTCGCCAAGCGCTGAATGCATGTAAAAAGTGGCTGGAGTTACTCGCCAGTTGGTTAGTTTTGTCTTGCAACATAATACATTGCTGCAATTTGTGGTCTTCCAGTTTTTGCCTCAAGGGTAAATTTAATCTTGGAATCCTATAGTTTCCCCCCTCGGAGCACTCCATGTGGCACACATATGTGCAATATTCTCAGCACCAATATGAAAATACTGTATAAGGAATATTATCACTTCGTCTTTTGGTGACAGGTGTACAGTAGCTTTTCTGAGAGATGTCGGCTAACTCTTGTATCTTGTATATGGTGCTGTAGGTGACAAAATTGCTTGGAAATTGAAAAATGTACAATGTATTATATTTTAATGAAGTCTCTTATGCTGAACAAAGCTGCATTAATGTGCTTTAAAAATACAGTAAAAACAGTAATATTGTGAAATATTATTACAATTTAAATAAATTTGTGAGTAATTTTACTTTACAACTAAACGTGTGGATATATACATATATATATACATGTATATATATATATATATATATATATATATATATATATATATATATATATATATATATATACACTTGTCCTTTTTTTTCATTATTAATACAGTTTTGTGGTTGTATGAAAAAAGAGCCTGGACTAGTGTAGAAATTAATGATCAAATTCAGAATTCGCTCTTATTAAAATAACTGGTTATTTTTCAGCATGTAAATAATGTCTTTATATTTTACCAGATAAATGTTACAGTTGAAAGTATAATAACTTAGTATGCTTAAGTTCTTTTTTGTGATAGATCAATTCATAGCACATTTAAAAAATATAACTTTTTTGCACTTGGCAGATGATTTTATCCAAAGCGACTTACATTGCATTCAAGGTATATATTTCATAAATTGTTTAAATAAATCTAAAAAATTACATTCATGCACTGCATGAGTAAAAATTAAGTATTTTCACCTTGACACGTCTTATAACTACCATGCTCATAGTGTGAGACACAATGCAACAGCCAATGCATGAATTTGTATTAAAAAGTCTTATTAAAATTTGTTTTTGTTTTTCTCATTTGTACGTTTCTTTGGATAAAAACATCTGTGAAATTAATACATATAATGGTAAGAGCTCATAGTTTGTCTGTTGCAAGGTTTAAACCTAAAGCTTTTTGGTTACAAGCCCAGCTCTTTAACCTTCGAGCACCATTGCTTTGTGCCAATTGGTAGAAATGGGAATTGAGCCCACACTTCCATTTAGAAAGCAGACAACTCCTCACTTGAGAAGGCTGAAGAACCTTAGGCCTCTGTTTCGTCTGGTTAAATTCTATAGCACTCTGTGGTTGGTGTCCATTTCAAGACGCACAAGAGCTTTATTTATGCAACACGGCATGCATTCACGAGCTGAATGCTGCAGATTGACACCAAATTCTCTGCACTTGGACATCGTTCACCTTTGGACATCAAAGGTTCACGTTTTTCTCCTCTTTGGTCGCACATGTGCTGTGTTTGGTTTTCTACAGGGCAAGACTACACAAACAGAGAATGAATGGCAAAGAAAGCGCAGTGAAAAGAGAAGGGTGGAGAAATGTTTTGTACTTGAGAGTGTAATGTTCAACATCTGTCAGCTGTTCTGTCAAGTATGACCAGTATTAGTTTGGATGTTTGACACATCTTTTGTCTTGAGAAGCATGGCTGTGTACGCTAGACCTCTGAAAAATGCTTTTGCTGCTGTTTTCTTAAATGCATGTGTTGTTTTTTTGTGTGATTGTTTTTTCAAGCTTTTTCCTCAGTAACCTGAGGTTGTTTTGCCCACAGACCTTTTTAAAAATTAGTGGCAGACTTCCATGTGGTTTATATTATGTCAAAAAAATGGTTTAAAATATGATATACTGTCTTTTGGGATAGTAATAAACAGGCAATTCTTGTTTCCAAAACCTTTGTTTATATTTGTATATCTTGCCTAGAAGCAGACGCCACTTTGTATGGTCTGTTCCTGGATCGCTGAGCGTTTCCCATCTCTCAGAGCTTCTGTTTGTGATGTTATTGCCAATCTCCTCTTTCTGCCACTTCTTTGTGAGCAGGAAGTGAAATTTGAGGAGTTAATGGAGCGTTTTCTGGCTCTCCTCTCCTCTGCTGGAGTCTTATGCGGGAGTCCGCCCTAATCCCACAAATCATGCCAGTTTATGAATTTTAAATTAAAAAGCCCAAATTTCTTTCGTTGTACTATTCATTTCACCCCACCTAGCTCTGATACTGTGCAGTCATGCACGCATTTCATCACGACTGGAAATACAATGTTAATCTGTGAGCTTTGGTCATAAATTACATTATCTTGACATGTTGAGGATAAAGAGTCTTGAGACCCCAAAAATGAGGGGTGAATTCAATAAACTGCACTTCAGCACTTCATTTTTTTTTATGTAAACCCCTGCATCTTATTCACAAAGCACCTGCAATCTTTAAACAGGTGTAAAATGCACTGAAATAGTGCTGTGGCTTGAGCTCTTTACTACAGTTATAGTAAGTCACTGTCATTATTTTCAATGCAAACACACTCTATGTACAAATTTCTCATAATTCCTTTAGTGAACACAGTTACATCATCTTTAGTTACATAGTTTAGTTAATCAGCAAGAATGCATTAAGGATTTCATCAAAAATATCTTAATTTGTTTTCTGAAGATGAACGAAGGTCTTACGGGTTTGGAACGACATGAGGGTGAGTAATTAATGACAGAATTTTCATTTTTGGATGAACTATCCATTTTAGGACACAGTCTTTGTGTCCGATTTTCAAACACTTTTTTTGCTTCAAATCAATGATAATTCACTTTGTACCTGGATAGTTTGGTTCATTGCTTATAACTCTTAAATGAAGACTTTTTAAAAATACCAATGGGAAAAATGAAAAAGTGAACAGGCACTGTCGTATTCTTTTCATGGCTTATTTCCTAATTATTAATTAGGTATTGTTACATAAACGGATTAATATTAAGAAGGCATGTTTTAGCTATAAAATAACTGGTTTATTGCAATAGGACGGGAATTATGTTGTATCGCAGATGAACCACACCAACCTGAGAAGACCTGCTTGACGTTTGCGTAAATATTTTTTCCACAGCTCTTTACTTTTTGATGAATATTTGAGAGCACACAAATCTGACTCAAATCAATATGTTCTGATCTGGAAAATGGGTCTGTTGTAGAGAATGTTCTTTGAAACGGTACTAAATTCAATATAAAGTTGTTTAAAAATAGAACATGCTAAATCATTTTCACAATTGTCTGGCTACAATTGTGTGGAGAAGATGAATCTTGCATTTGATTGAGCAATTTAATCAATGTGCTGTCCAGTTCGTGTGGATGTTGAATGTGTGATGGACATTTCAAATTCTCCATCTTTTTTCCAGTGCTTCTGAAATTACCTTTTCCATATTGTTTTCCGCTAAGTACATCAAAGAGTTGCAAACCCACTCCGTCCCAATAATGCAATGTATCATGAGTACCCACACTCATACAAGAACTCATTAATGTGACTAATATCCCAGCACCCCACTGTGTCCCACAACAACATAGACTTCTGTGCGTGTTCAAAGAGCTCATTTACACACTTTAATGTCTAATCAGACAACGCTTGCCTCACCAACAGAAATATCCACCAATCACAGAGAAATGTCTTTCAGATATGATTGTAAGCACATCCAATTGAATTACAGCGTGGCCAATGGAAGCTATTTCACAGTCCACTGATCAGTCAAAATACGCTTGGTACGAATGACATCGGGCAAATGGCAGGACTGTTATCTGAGCTTATCTGAACCTGAGATTCACACGGATAAACCATAATGATTTGACGAACTCTCCCTGTCTCTGTCTCTCTTAACAGAAATCGAAAAGGTTCAGAAAGATGAAGACAAAGAGGATGAGAAGTTCATTGATGTTGTCATCAACAAGAACATGAAACTGGGACAGAAGATTTTGATCCCTGTAAAACAGTTTCCCAAAGTAAGTACAACAAAGCTGTTTTCAGTGTATAATATGATACAGTAGTTAAACCCTAGAACAGAACAGATTTAGAGAAATTTAGCATTAAATCACTTGCTCGCCAATGGATCCTCTGCAGTGAATGGGTGCCGTCAGAATGAATGTCCAAACAGCTGATAAAAACATTACAATAATCCACACCACTCCATCAATTAACATTGTATCAAGTGAAAAATCAAATCCATCAATAAAGCATGTAAAACTGTCGCTTTCAGTTGACCTTCACTTATAAAATTGTTTTCTGCAGTGAAACGTCATCTTGTCTGAATCAGGAGAGAAATATGCACAGATCAAGCAGCTTTTACAAGCGAAAACAGTTCTAAACAAACATGTCAAACATGGATTTTGATGTGAAGGAACAACAGGCAATGGACTTTTTCACTGGAGGAAGTGTTATTATGGATTATGGACTCATATTGTGGCCAGAAGCTATGGTTTAAAGTTAAAACATCTTAATAACAGATTTGTTCCTTACAAAAGACGCCACTTTTTTGCATCACAAGATGTAAATTGATGAATGGGAGTCATGTGGATTATTGTGATGTTTTTATCAGCTGTTTGGACTCTCATTCTGACGGCACCCATTCACTGCAGAGGATCCATTGGTGAGCAAGTGATGCAATGTTAAATTACTTCAAATCTGTTGTGATAAAAAAAACAAACTCATCTGCATATTTGAAGACCTTAAGGGTTTAAGTAAATGTTAATTTTTTTAATGACTGATTCCTTTAATATTTTTTGCAGTGCTAGTGAAATTGATCATAATATTTCATAAATATCCATTGGCAATTTGTCAAAACATTTTCTATAGGCAGTGTTATAGTGTAAAATAATTAGACGGTGCAGACAGAAATTCTTAATGTTAGGCATGTCTCCTTCACAGCTGATAACCTTTGTGTATTTCATTTGTTTTACATGTTATCACACGACTCCACACGCCACCACTTCACTATACATTCAGACTATAGTCATTCATAAGGATGAAAAGCACTTCACAATGCAGCTACATGTTAATATGAACACGAGTTTGTTATTGAAGCGTGCACAAGGCGATTTCAGAAAATGGTCCTAATTTCCATATTGTTGCTGTTGAGTGTGTTATTTGATGATTTTTGCTCCCTTCGCAGACGTAGAGGTGAGCGTGACCTTGACAGCAGGCTATCACATTAGCAAACCACTGAGCATGTGTGTGTGTGTGTGTTCATGTGACGTGTGCATATATTCCCACTGTTTTCCCAAAGGGCTTGCACACAAGGAACAATTCTTTCTGTACCTCATTTAGTTAGTGCTTTCGTAATTCTCTCAACATAATTTAATGCCCCTCTTTGTTTGCGTGGTTTTTAATTCACACCGTTCCATCCTGGGAGGGTGAAAGAGCGACAAACAGCAGGAGAAAAGAGAGAAACAGAGAAATTTAAGCAGCAGGTGTAGATGTCTGGCTCTATTCAGAAAAAAAAGCTTTTTTTAGGGCAGTGAAAGGGTTTAGATAGATGATAATTAGAACAGCGGGTTTATGTGATTGTTTGAGGAGGCGTTTCATTGACGAAAGAGATGAGTAAATGAACAGGACATGTGGAAGGAGAATAGCATGTGCTCATGTTCTTTTGTCTATCATAATCATAATTTCCATTTCCATTCACTTTCATTATTATACTGAGCTACTGATATTTTCTGTATAATAAATAAATAAAATATGTATCGTAGTTGGGAATATTTATGATTTATTAATGTTTTATATATATATATATATATATATATATATATATATATATATATATATATATATATTTGAAAGAACCGATTTTTGTCCCATTGATGTAGCTTACTTGAAGTTTTACTATACATTGGTAGCATATAAAACCGATTTCAAGAATTGAATTGGCCTCTTCATCACAAATGAGCCCTGGGAAGATGAACAATTCATGCTCCTAACATGAGGACAGATGGGCCGTCGACAGCCTCATACATTTGTGCGCATATACACACTTTTGTGCACCTGTATATGATGTATATATGTATTCGAGTAGCTGTGTGTGTGCACACATTCAGAGAGTGATAATGTGTGTCTGAGCTATTTTTGAGCTATTACAAACCCCCCAAAAGAGGGTTTGTAAATGGGCTCTGGGATCTCAGAGGGAGTGTGCTGTGAAGGGTAAAACATCTCTCACACACACAGATACACACACTCTACTCTCATTTTTTTTACTCATACTAGAGGTCTGGTACCTAATCTAAGACCAAAAAGACCCAGAATTCCATCGGGATTGAATTTGTAATTAATGGAAAAATATATTATTATTATTATTATAGCTATTCATATTTAATTTTCAGTTTTAATGACTGTAACTAATTTTGCTCATGCATGCACTAATAGACTGCAATAGTCTGAATCAGAGCTCAATTTGCGTGTCTGGGTCTGCTTAATTTGTGTGTATATATATATATATATATATAAAAACATTTTTTTTTTTAAATATGACTGGTTCTTTCAACTGCAAAACTCCATAACATCAGGGAATTCTGGGTGGTTGCCAGGGTGTTACTATGTGGTTCAGCCGGACCAGGTCGAAACAGCCCACCTTCAAGTGTAAATTTAACTTTGTCTTAATTAAATCACTAACTTTAAACCAATAATGATATTTTATTTTATTTTATTTTAATTGCTAGGGTGTTGCTAGGTGGTCCAACCACTAGTCAAAACAGCTCTAACTAACTTTAAACCAATAATGCTATTTTATTTTTATTTATTTAATTTCATTTAGTTTCATTTTATTTTAATTGCTAGGGTGTTGCTATTTGGTCCAACCACTAGTCAAAACAGCTCTAACTAACTTTAAACCAATAATGATATTTTATTTTATTTTATTTTAATTGCTAGGGTGTTGCTATTTGGTCCAACCACTAGTCAAAACAGCTCACTTTCAACTTTCAAATGTCTGTTGACTTTCAAGTCTTGTTCAAATCACTAAACCTAAGCGAATTATTTATTTTATTTTATTTTATTTCCATTTAGTTTAGGGTTCCGGTTGGGGTTTGTCTCACTGGTTGTGTCAGGTCACAGGTTTTGTTAACCGCATCATTGTGCTTCAATTGAGTCTCCATCCAGTCTCCATCCAGTCCTCTACACTGTAAATATTACTCAAACCCAAATGTCAGCTTGTGTTATTAAACACAAGTCTGCTTTACTCCTGATTCCGGCACCTACAGGAGCCCCCAGTCGCCCCAAGATGTTTGTGGATCATGGAGCATGTTGGCTCTGTGGCTCCATTATAGATGGACCTTATAATGACATTATTATCTATTCAGTATGAAATTTGTCACAGTGCAGTGAGTCGAATTATCTATTTGGAGGATGCGTTTGTGCGCTGCAGTTTTGTGAATATAATTGTCTTCTGTTCTGGAGTCTCTGGTTTTAACTGGATGATCAGCAGATTGCTTTAACCACAGACTATGGTAGATTGCCTGCCAAACTCTTCCCACTGTCCATCATGGGCATAGAAGAGGTTTATTGCTTTAGATCATGAGTAATAATCAGTAAGCTCTGTGGTGGTAACATAATACCATGGTATTGGATGGTAATACTGTGGTACTTTAAAATACAGTATGTGCTGGAATTAGTTTAACATGGTTTTTATATTGTGCTGCCAATGTATAGGCCCAAAATAACATAGTACCGTACTTTTTGTAAGTGTAATTGTTCAGTACATTTACAGTACCATGGTTAAACTATGGTATTCTCTGAAGTATCTTTGAGTGCCATATAAATGGCATGGTGTGTGAATATAATAATTACTCTTACAAAAAGTACCATGGCAGTAACATAATACAATGGTACCAAGTGCTTTACCATGGTACTGTTATCCATGTACCATGTAGGTTTTCATATGGAATTACCATGGTAAATGTCCAAAATACCATTGTAGTACCATATGTTTTGTAAGTGTAATTATTCACTACATTTACCAAAAAGTACCATGGTACTACCAAGGTTTTGAACATTTTCCATGGTAGAACCATGGTATTCTTTAAAGTACCTTATAGCACAATCTAAATGCCATGGTTTGTGAATATAATAACCTTACAAAAAGTTATGCAGTAGCATACAGCAGTACCATGGTATCAGATGCCAATATTGATACTTAAATTCACGTACCATAGTTCTTAAATGGCGCTACCATGGTAAAATACCATGGTACCTTGTCCAAAACACATGGTAGTGCCATACTTTAAGTGTAATAGGTCAGTACATTTACCATGCTTTTTAAACGTAGCATGTTAAAATCATAGTGGTGGTAAGATAATACCCTGGTATTAGAGGGTATTACTGTGGTAATAAAAAATGCTATGGTACTAAAATTTATGTACTATGTTTTTTGGTACTACCATGGTATGTCCAAAATACTATGTCCACAGATTGTGGTAGTACTATACTTTTTGTACACGTAATCTTTCAGCACGTTTACCATGTTTTTTAGACATGGTAAAACCATGGTATTATTGGAAGTACCTTGGAGTACCATATTAATACCATATGGTATCACAAAAGTATCGTGGTGGTAAAATAATACCATGGTATCAAATGGTAATACTGTGGTACTTTGAAAAATACTGTGGTACTAAATTTCATTTACTATGTTTTCTACGTGGTACTACTATGGTGCTATGTTCAAAAAATGGTGGTAGTGCCATGCTTTTTGTACATGTAACTTTTCAGTACATTTACCATGTTTTTTTGACATGGTGTGATGGTTCCAGCAAGTATCCGGTTATTTCTGAGCTACAGGTGATTTGGCTGAGGGGAGTGGTTGCACACCTGAAGGTAATGATGGTGCTCTACAAAAGACTGGGACAGACTGGGACAGAGATGGCAAGTGGGACACGTGTGTGAGCGTGGGCTGGGCTGGGCTTGTGCGGAGCTTGAGCTGTCTTTGTTTGCGCCGTACCTTGGGTTACACATGAGG